GTATCCCGATTTTGCTATGTGGATTTCAGAAACATTTCCAAGCCAGACAAAATGATCATTAACATCTTTTGTGCTTGGTTTCAGGTCAGTAATAGTTTTTACCATATTTGGGAAAATCTCTCTGATTTTCACTATATTTCATTCTCCAGTGTTAAGAAGCAACAAATCTGAGACCAACAACTCTTCTGTTTCCTTGTTTGGAGGCCCCATAGGTTGAACCGGAGTGTTGAGAGGTAGCCAAGGCTCTTTCCAAGCCTTTGTGTTTTTCCATTCCCAATTACCTTCCCTAGCCTCTGTTTTAGGAGATCAGATCCTTGCCTATCATTATACCATGTATTTGAAGACCTTGATTCACTTTTTTTTTTTTTGATATTGCATCACTACTCGAGCCCAAAATAATGAACCTCAATTATTTATAAGATTTTGATAAGTATAAAATATTATTTTTCAATTAGATTTAGCAGTGTGTGAAAAAGGATTATCTATCTAAAAAATTAACATATTTAATCTTATCGAGACATGTATAATTCAATTGATCAGATATATATGTAAAAAATTTCATCTCAATTAGATTTAACCAAATGTTAAAAGATTTATCTATTTAAAAATAATAATATTTTTATTTGTAAAATAATAAAAGGTAAACCAAATTTAAATAGGATTTGGAAAATCTATGTGATATAGTTTATTTATTTTTTTGTCAACATTAGGTCACAACTGGACATCCCATTAGCCTAATCCCTACAATATCAGGGAGCGAATGTGATATAATTTAATAATAAAATAATATAAAATATAAGAGTAAAATTGATAAATATTGGATAGATTTATCTATAAGTTGTTTTCTACTGAAGTTCTAAATCTTATTTTATTGGGGTGACACAATTTTGTCTTATGTTTTTTCGTGTTTGATTTTATTTACAGGTTATAAATTATAAAAAGAGCTAAAATATAAATATGTGAAATAATTCGTCAACATTTTGAAAAAATAAATACTTTAAAAATATGTGATAATTTTAATTTTAAATCAAATAATAAAATAAATAAATGTTATACTTCTCAATCAATGGTTTCGCAACAACTTTACTTTAATGAGATCATTTTGTTTTCGAAAATTAAATATTTCATTTTTTGCAGACTTATAAAATATTAAATTACTCGTATATATGCGGGTCCTTAATCTAGTTAAACATAAATTTTCACGTAAAAGCATCCCTCTTTTTTCTTAATTATTTTCTTGGGTCAAA